TGACAATAGAAATATAAGTGAATCACCAGCATCACTCGAGGTTATATGTATGTATATACTAGACAGGATTTGAGAGAGGAACTGGAGATGTGGAAAATAAAAGCCAAATAAAAGTCTCCAATAGTCGTAGGGACCATTCGATGCGGCTGCTCTCACTAAGCTGTTTCTAAATTTCTAGATTGGTAGCATCAGGAATCAGGAAGAGAGGAATAGCTAAGGTAATGCGCAAAATTCCAAAAGGCTTCTAGATCTGTGATAGGAGAGATCTGAAAGGGGTTGTGGAAAACACCTCTGTACCATTCACTAAGGAATGAGGTGTTTAGTTATTTACCTTGTCTATATACATCGTCAAATCGAATTATTATTTGTCACTTATTTAAGCACCATAATGCAGAAACCCTTTCCAATTTTTTCCTTTATTATATTTTAAAATCGTCTCCTCATTACATTATACGCTATACTCCATTTATAGTGAAAGGATCCTCTGGAGCATCATTCTTGCACCAAATTTTTTGCAACCAAAATTCCCATCATATTCTCTTTCTTTAGCCATTAAAACTACCGTATTCGAAAAGTTTTTTCATTGTGAGAAAAAAATTAACCATCGATTAAATTGAACAAAGAAGTGGTGCTAGAAGTGGTGTTCAGAGCCCGTTTACGTCAACAATTTGGTCTTTTTTTCTTTTACTTTTATCAGTTAGTCTATTATCATGATTGTACTGCTAATAGATATAGAAGAGCACCTCATCTCTTATTCTTCATCTTGTGTCCGAAAATCTCGGAGAAGTCACCACTGAAGGTTCTTTCCTAGGGAAGATTCTTCTGGAAACCTAGATGCCAGCTGAGATTCGCATTTCGGCCTTATATATCAAAAGAAGGAAAAAATATGTCCAGCGTTCTTTAAACCACTGCGCTATTCTAGTAGAACATGGCCAGTGCTTTCGACTGTCAAATGGATCTATGCAAGCCTAGCAGAGTGAGTCTAATCAGAGATGCTTTTCGAAAAAATTATTTGTTTTAATTATTAAAAATATTAAAAATCAAATTAATTCTGCTTTTTTTTCGTTTCAAATACATCTTCGTTCAATCCGAAATATTCACATTCCGCATATCAGATTTCATCATACATTTCACTGATTAATTGCACTAATATTTTGCGGTTTATCGCTTCGAATGTTTCGAATTAATACATTTTTCATGTTAAAAAAAAATGTGGAAATAAACGCAAGAATTTTGGAAATAAACTTCAAAATCGTCATGTCCTCATGTCATGCAGCATGCAACATGCAACATGCAGCGTAATGCCACATGCAATTGCTTATTATGCCGTTTAATATTTTTAAAGAATATTTTTAAAGATAGCTTAACTTTTTTTTTATTGGAATAAAAATTTCACGCGACGAATTTGAAATATTTCTTAAAATTATTTATTTTGCCTAAGGCATGTTGAGCCATAAATAATTATTTAATTTAGTTGAAACAATTTAAAATTTTATTTTTATTGAAAAATATTTATAATTTATAATTCAATATAAATATAATTTTTCTTTTTCTTTTAATATTTTAATATTTTCTTAATGATTTATATTGGACAAATATTTTGTCTTTTTTATGTAATTTTCAATATAATTTAAAAATAAATTTGTTTTAAAATTAAAAAATAAAAATTTTACGTGAAATTTCACGTGATTAGTTTCTACTATAATTAATAAAATTGTTATAAAATTATTTATAATTACATTTGACCTCTCGTTGACCTCTCGCATATTTTTATATAGGAAAATTATGCATTGATTATGATCAACACTCGTAAGTTTCATTGATCTCGCTTCATTCTATCTCTTATGTTTTCGCTATCTAATAGATTTCGTCTAGTCTAATGCATTCGGTTTATTAATTATTTACTTGTTTATGGATTTCGAATGTATTAGGATGGTGAGAAAAGAAGGGATAGCTATGTATATAACGTAGAATCATGATAGAATGGCTTAGTGGGTTGTTGCTCAGTTGGGACCGCCAATACTGAGGTTCGATTCCCTGCAGGAGTAAACTTGTCCAAAAATGCGGGTGATGCTGGCGACTCACCTGTATTTCTATCGCTAAGGGACTCCCTGGTGATATCGCTCAATACGACAAACCAGTGGAGTGAAAAACCAGTAATGGTGAGGACTCTTTAAAGAAAAAAAAAATCATCGATTGCTTAGGAATGTCTCAGGAATATCTTTTAGTTAGCGAGAACCAAGCGCCCATATAATTTCCCATATAAAGGTATGTGCGGAAAAAATCGAAAACCTGAATTTTCAAAATCTTACCTCAAATTTTTTTTCCAAATCTTTCCCGAATCTCTTTAAATGCCCAATAATTGCCGTTATTTCATTGTAGAATTAATTTCCTCTACGCGCAAAATACCCAAACTTGATATTTTTTTAGGTGCTATGTGATCCCTCTCATAGTTCCGTTAATTTTGTTCCGTTAATTTTGTTGCTTAGAAATTTTTACAGGAAAGCCATTTGGTAATAGAAATATATAGGCGTCTAACACCATTCGAATTTTTTATTGTCTGAAGCAACATCAAGATAATGATAATTATCATGATAATCACTATCCATTTGGCTAACCTCTCTCATCGCGGAATTCTGATTTATTAATAATGACAATAATGTTTAATAAGAATAATAATATGATTAATGATAATAACAATAATATAAATCATTTCTAACAATTTCTCATCTGTAAAATATTTTTAAATATTTATCAATAAAAAGTCATCAGTAGACTTTATTCTTAATTTTCTTATCATGAGCAGTTCATCTCATATTTTTCACAAATCAAGACTGATTTGTTTCGCTTGATTACATTATCTTTGTGAATTCATCTGATTTGTCTTATCACTCATCCATTCATTCATTCGTTCATCTCATTTTAATAAAAATAGAATAGGAATAAGTTTTTAATTTCATTTTATTTCATTTTCATTTTTACATAATTCATTTAGAAATGATAAGGATGATTATACAACTTCTTTTATAAGTTCTTGTAACTTGTAAGATAGCGATAGCTTATGAAGTAATAATAATGTAATAGCTAGTGAGGGAATGAAGTTAGAGGGAAATTATTGGTTCGTGTTTCTAATCCCCTTGATAGACTCGCTCCGCTGGCTTGTCGGACAAGAGACAAATAAGCTAGGCAGTCGCTTGGCGATAGAAGGTGAGTTACCAGCATTATCCGAAATGATATTGTTGTAGTAGTGAATAGAAATAGGCAAACTAGAACAGCTGCAACTGTTTCCTTTGTATAGCTTAATTCTTAAAATGCAATTATTTACATCTTTAGGATCAAACTGATTTACATTTGTATTTCGTTGTTGTTTCTTGGTTTCTTTTAACAGCTTGCACCATTATTGGTTATATTGGCTCCGCTGGCTGCAACAACTCCTAAAATGTTTAATTTCTAAATTTCTTCCTAGACTGTTTCTTCCATCTCATTAGGTGACCGCTTGGTAACGAGATATACTTCAATTCCTGGAATTGACGGTTTACTGGTATAGGTGATATTCTTTGGTGATTAATGCAAATGGTATTCGACCAAAGGTGTAATCATATGAGATTCATATGAACTTAAATATATCCATTTGCTCAATAGAATAAACAAATTTATTTTCATTTTATTTTTTATCATTTTTATCATTTATTTTTATATTTTACTAAAGTTTTTACCCTTATAAATTTCTTATATAAGTAAAATTTGCTAGCGTTTTTTTGAGGTTAGAACAGAATTACGAATGGTCCTCAGCGAAAACCATAGGACTCCTAGGAAATTATATTCGAATAATTATTTTTGCTTCTTTAAGATTGATTTATTTTATTGTTCAGTGTTTGTTCTAATTTAATGAAATTTTTAGCTTAAAAATATTAATATTTTCATTTTTTTTAGAATGAAGATTCTAATGGAAAATGACGAATAAAAAGATAGACAATTCGGCTACTGCAAATTCTGCATCGTCGTCAGTCGCCATACCATCGAAGGCCACAACGACAACAAATTTATCAGTAGTCGAAGATAATAAAGAGGTTCAATTAACGAATAATGGCCCAACGGAAATTGAAACCATCGACGCACCGATTTACGATATGAATAATTGTATTGTCGATCCAAAATTAGCGATGATTCGTAATGATTCTAGCGATATTGAAATCGAGGATCTTGACTTAATTCGTACAATCGGTTAATATTTCCTAAAATTAATGAGATTTTTGGTAATAGAACGGCGCTTTGGTGATCTTTGATGATCTTCGGTGTTCTTTTTTATCGTTTATAAATAATCTGTTCTTATATTAATTTATAAGGATTTTTAGTTTAACAGTCTAGCTTCGTCCACAAGTTTAGTTAAAAAAGGAGTATATATACGATTTCCCAATATTTGAAATTTAGCACTTCCATCAGTTAGAATATAGAATTTAACAAATATTAGTATTAGTTACTATTAATGTTGTTATTTTATCACCAATAGTAGTGCTTTATCACTTTATCACTAATCATAGGGACTTTCATATCTCATATCACATTGCTTTTCCTATATTCTTAGGTTAAGTCTAAACATTAAAATATTATTCTTTTAATATTTTTTAAAATATTACAATATTATTCGGAAAAGAGAAATCTATAGGTTCCAATTGGCAAATTCTTAGAATCCACTAATTGCCAGAGCGATTTACCAAAAAAAAGACTGTTTTATGATTATCACTATGTTATTTTAAAATATCTTAAAATATATAAAATCGTTATCTTTAATATCTTTGATTATATCATATAATTACAAAAATAGCCATTAAATACTTACTAAGAACTGAGGCAAAAGAGCCAAATCTTATAATTCAATATTTTTTAACTTTAGAATAGATGAAACAATTTAAGTGGTTCTTTGTATCGTTGATAAGCATTTAATCACATTTAATCGTTTATAATTAATCGAAGTTTTGTAATAAAATTTCTGCTTTCGAAAATCCAAATTTTTCTTTTTGTTACTAAGCGAATCGAAATTTATCGGAATAATTATTTCTATGAATTTCTTCGTCCCACGTTAATTAACCCCATTTATCTGAGCAATTATAATAATTATTAGATGAGGTAAAATAAATCGTCGGCCAGTGTATTGTATTGCATTGTATTGGTGGGGAATGTAAAGGATTTAATATTGATGCCACCATTCACCATTAATTTACACTAGAAAGAGCAGAAGGACCAGAAAAACAGCCTTAAGGCGTGTGAAAAGAGCCAAGAAGCTGCCTTGAGACTTAGCACATTTGATATATGTATAATAACGAGAAAAATCAGTTATTTCTCGTTAGCACAGCCTGCAGCCAATGGTCTTATTTTCTAGGTCTCGCTATAACCGTCTTTCAAGCCTCACTATGCAATTTCTTTGGAACTTATTCGTCGAAACCTCGTTACTTTCGTTTTCGTTTTATAATAACGTCTATAAAAGATGCATCAGCCATTAATACTTTAATTCCTTTTATTCTGTCTCACCACTTTCTAGAATACCATTATTGCTCCTTAATAACTTCTTTGGAACCTTCTATGCTGCCAAAATCTCCTCAGTTCTCTTCAACAGTTTGTTAAAGTACGGCTTATCGCGATCTTCGCTCAGTTCAATCTTTCGATCTTTTAAAATCTATAGATCACCGAAAGTTCCACAGGCTTTGCTTATTCTTGGTCTAAAATCAACAAATCTTTGTATTCTTTTATTGATTAATTTATTTCACATATAAAGCCACTAATTTATAATTTTAACTCTTTTTTCAGGAACTGGGTCTTATGGTCGCGTTTTTTTGGCAAAAGATTGTCGATCAGATAAATATTTTGCGCTTAAAAAAATGCAAATCAAAAAGCTCGTACAAATGCGTCAAACCACTCACGTACATTCAGAAAAAAACATCTTAGAGATTCTCTCACATCCATTCATCGTTAAATTGTAAATTTTAATATTTTTTGCATTATTATTTCAGTAAAAAAATTTGAACGAAAGAAGAAAAGTTGATGGTACCAGAGAAGTTCAGCCGAGAGACCGTCTTTCGCGAGGGATTTAATGGCCTTCTGAATAATAGCGAGGATTATTGCTATATTGTCGGCAGTTATTGATAAAAGAATGGTACCACTGAGGATTTATTATAGATTTTTCTCTATTTTCTATTAATTTATTTCAGATATAAATCATCGATAGATAAAGCAAATTTAAATATGGTTTTTGAATATATTCCTGGTGGTGAATTATTCAGTTATCTGCGAAATGTTCGTCGATTTTCGAATTCTATTACTCGATTTTATTGTTCCGAGATAGTTTTGGCGTTGGAATATCTTCATTCATTAAATATTGTAAGTTTTTTTAAAATTATTGACAAAATTATTCTGCCATCCTTTTTTCCTAATAGGTAAATAGAGAACTTTCTTCATCCTTAAAGTTCCACGTTCGACCACTAATGCACTGTTTCTCTTAGACCTCGAGCAGTAGGCTCTTTAGGCTCTTCATTATTTCCTTTATAATTTGCTCAGAATCTGCCATATGCCTTTTAAATCTTTCGAGAACCCCAGCAGTTGTAATTGCATCTCATGCCATACCTTACCCCATTGGTTTTGTCATCAACTAAGTAGTCCTGTAATTGGTAAGTTTTCATAGAATCTTTCGTAAACCTCTTCAAAACTCCTTTAATTACAAAATTTTCAAAATTCAAAATTTTGTTCGTCCATTTTAAAATTTCTCAATGAAACTCCTTCCATTAAGTGAAATTTCTGTCACAGTCAGTTATAAAATATAAAATAAAATATTATGGAATATGCTTTCTTGAAAATCCTCGTAAATTTATCCATTAGTGTTCCATTTGTTTGATTTTGAAACTCCTAATTCTTTAATAATTTCACCATAAATTCCTTTCCATTAATTTTCCATCTCTTTAAATTCCATCATCGTGTTAATAATTTCAATTTCCTCAAAACTTATTGTTGTGCTTCTTGTATGTTCCTCCTATGTCCTCCTTTCTCTTCCTCTTCAATTTTTCTTAACTTTTAACATTCCAGCAAATTCATTTCCAGAATCCAACATCGCAGTATTTCCTTTTATATTAATTAAATAAATGAAAATGAATTATTTTTAAAGAATTTTATTTAAATCCTTTTAGGCATATCGTGATTTGAAACCGGAAAATTTAATGTTGGATCATAATGGTCATATTAAAATGACCGATTTTGGCTTTGCGAAAGTGATCACAGAAAGGTTATAGTGATTCTTAGTGGTTATAATTTGATTTTAGAGAAAATTGTAATTTTGAATATTTTGGATTGTTAGGATGGAAGTACTTTCGTAGAAATGGGGAACGGAAGTAACAATCGCTATTCGATGGCCAATTAGATTATCCTAAATATGTTTAAAAGTTAAAAGTTATAGAACTATGACTTTCGTCTATACTTTTACTTTTACTTCTGAATTATAGGAATATTTAAAATACTTCTTTAGGGAAACTTAAAAAGAAAAAAAAAACTTATCAAATGCTTAAAAGATGAAGATTATAGGACTTGGACGATGTGTGGGACAGTTGAATATTTAGCACCGGAAGTTTTTACTCATCAAGGTCATGGTAAAGCAGTCGATTGGTGGTCACTTGGAATTCTCATTTATGAGATGATGGTTGGTGTACCACCATTTCAAGGAAGAAATGTTAACGAGATTTTTGACAATATACGCTCTGGAAAATTACGTTTTACCAGAACTTTCGATTTCTTAGCGAAGCAAGTTCATCTATGTATCACACATCTATACTTTTTTGATACTGGTTTCATTTTAGGAATACTATAATCATATATTTTTTGAAGGGATCTTGTGAAAAAATTGTTGCACACTGATCAGCATCAACGTCTAGGTAATTTAAAGAATGGTGCTAAAGACGTAATGAATCATAAATGGTTTTCGGATATCGCTTGGACGGATCTCATCGAGCGTAAAATACCTGTTAATATTTTTATTCATACGTTTTAAACGTTTTTCGGTTATCACTTTATCACCTTCGATATTGCTATTTCCATTTTATGTTTTATCTTCTTATGTTTGGCTGGTTTCATTGACTAAGGGAATCAAACAAACTTCTCACAAAATTCTGAATGATGGTCAAATAATTTGCATGACCCATAACCGGCAATTTAGACTACAATATATTTGCAAAAATAAAACCTATAAAGCATCGCAGCATTCAATATGATTTTTTAGACTATAGTTCCATCGTTCACCACTTATAGTTCCTTTCTTTCGTTCTAACGTTTCGGCATGCTTGTTGTTTAACGGAAACTGATAATCTAAAACTGCTAAAATTTGTTTAAAAATAATCCTATTTCATAATGGGTAATTTTTTTCAGCCTCCAATAAAACCATCAATTTCATCAAATGGTGATACGACAAACTTCGAAGCATATGAAGAAGACGATAGTGAAGAAGTGGTTCGTATATATCTTTTTGCTTTTCTAGAAATTTATTTAGTGATAATAACGAAAATTTAATAATAATTAAATTTTATTACAGGAGGCATCAAAAACCGAACTCGAACTTTTCAAAAATTGGTAATTATTGGATTCCATTTAAAGTATAACGGAAAGAATAGTGAAATGAATAAAGCATTCCTTTAAAATAAAAAATATTTCATTAAAAATGTGGATGAATATCTAAATGGGATGAATTTTACTAAAAAGTAAAGAATAATACAATATATTAATACAAATATAACATTATCATCAGCATTACCATTATCATATCATATCATTGTCGAACTCTATTCGGTGCAATTTTTTATCCTCTTTGATTTTGAAAAAATCATCCATCATTTATGCTAATCAATAATGGCGAATGTTCACTACGGATATGTTAACATATTAATTAATATGCAAAATTTTATTATTTTAGGCACCATCGGATTAGAGTATTTTTAAATCGAAAAGAGTTATTATATTTGGTTGAATTTCTATCGTCTTCTTGATAAAATTTTTTTGTTGGATAATAGTTCCAACAGTGGCGTCTTGCTCCTGGCAGGAGTAAACGCGTCTTTCGAAAAAATAAATGGGAGGTGCTGGAACACTCACCTATATTTTCTCTTCAGTAACTCTCTCCGGTAGAACTCCAGTAACTCTTAACTGGTGAAACAAGGCATCGGAGCGAGCCTAACTAATAATGCTGACCGCTATTAGAAAAAAATTTAGCCATAGTTGCATTAAATAACTATTAAAAACAAGCTAATTCTTTTAAAATTGCTTAAGCCTAAAACGGAGAAGGCCAAAGTCGGGATTTTTCTAAACTTTCATTTCTCAAATTATTTCATTTCTTTTCGAAATATTTCAGAAAAAGAATGCGCTTTCTTTCCTATAATTTTCATTTAATTGTATTTTTAACCGAAAATATTTTCACTAAGAAAAAATAAATGGTAAATTGTTCAAAATCGCGGCAAAGAAATAAAAAACGAAAAAAAGTAAAAAAAGAAGATTTCTCAAAAATCACAATCATTTAACCGAACCATTCTCCGATATTCTTCCGATCGCGATTTACAAAATCCCAATTTTTCGAAAGTTGAGCCTGCTGTTCCTTTATCTTGTTCAAATTTTCCGTCTCCTGATCCTTAGCGAATATTTCAGGGAAACGGAATTCAATTCCTTTTTTCTAAAAAAATGAGCCTTCTAAAGTTATTTAATTGCATATAAACGAGAGAAATGTTTTAAAAAAAGCTAAAATCGAGCATAAAAAAAGAATTGAAAATTTTTAATTTCATTGGAGGGTCAATGACACCATCCACTAAAAAAAATAGCGGCCACGAATGATTTATTTCGCTTGAAATGAAGGAATATTTTATAGAAAAGTCAATGTAAATTTTCATAGTCTTATTTATTCGATTTTTAAGCTTTAGTGATACTAATATTACATAAGCTTTATAAAATATTCCGGAGATACGTACTAAAAACACGAAAGCATATTTCTTATCTTTTTCTTTCCAAAGCGCTTTCCTCTTTTCTCGATCCAACTTAAGATCCCAAGTGATTTCACCAGTAACAACCTGAATTACTAATGAATTAGACATTACGATGATACGAATCTGCATAGCATAAGAATATTCTGCGAGTAGATTATTTTAAAATAATAAAATAGATGCACGAAACACAAAAGAAATTACCGCAGTTCTAACATCCCGAACTGGCAATTTATATATTTTTTCAAGATATTGCCGAATATCGTATCTCGACATCCTATAAACGAATAATAGACATCCTATGAACTATAATTTTGATACTTTTCACAACTTTTCGCAATTGGCGATCCGTATGAACTTCATTTAGGCGATTTTTTTTAGCAAAAAAGAACTTAAGTTATAAAGCCATCTAAAACAGAAATTCTGCAACAAGTTCAAGGATAAATTTAAAAAATGAACAAGTTATGGGAATTGATAAATTATTCTTATAATTTCAACTGCGTTTGTGCATTTGCTTTTTTTTTAAGAAATATCAACACATTAAATGATTCTGTACGGATTTCGAATGATAAAGAAAGTTGCATAAATTTCAGACCGATTAAAATATGTATCAATCAAAGAAGGAAATAAAAGAGCAATATATAATGATTACACGGAAGGGCTCCGCTCTTGCTCATGAAAGAATTTTCTGAATTTAAAAATTTATAATTTTTAAATCTTGGTTATTCTTAAAGAAGACCTTTCTTAAGTATGAGCAACGTCGATCCAATTGCATAGCCAAATGAATGACTTTTTGGCAAAAATTTTTTACTAATAACCAACGGAATAATTAGCATAATTGGAAAAGGTGCAGTAACTTAACGGTAACGAAATTCAAGAGAAATTCATAGACAAGAAGTTTCTGAATTTATAAATTTTAGTTATTCTTAAAGAATATACAAAATTACCATAAGCATTATAGCTATGCCATGCCTCGAATTTCTCACCTCCTCAACATGTCCAGCTTCATTAACTATCCGAAAGAATAGCAATTAATCAATTATTCAATGTATTAAAAATATATTAAAAATTTAATATACAAATAAATAAAAAAAAACCTTGGATCAACTTCACATTTGAAACAATTCTTCGGCAATTTTTCGCGCCCATAATCTGGCGTTTGTAAAATTTTAATCCAAAAATCGGGTAGAAAAACGCGCAACTGTGGATTTCCCGGTTGCCATAATCGATGTGTTCGCGTTGTCATTATCTTCTAAAAACGAATAATTGGTAAACTGGATGCTCCTAAAGTATTCAACGAAATCCACCTATTTACTTAGCTAATTAAATTCTAAACTTAAATTTAAATATTCGGATGTCTAATTGAAATAAAAAAAACTCATTCCATTAGTGAAATATTATTCAATGGGTTAAAGCGCATAAAAATAAATTTTAATTAAAATTCAGATATTTTTTATATTAAAATATTAATAAATTCTCGATTGAAACAACGAAAAAAACAAAATCGTATGCACCCATTTCATTCCCAACAATAACAATAAAATATTATTCCTGAAATTTTCACCTCACAAATTACAAATTATGAACAAAAAATTAGAAGCCTCTTTGAGAAATGCAAAACCGATTATTGCCGCTCTTTCTGAAAAAATCTTTACTATCCTGTTTTTTATTACCTAAGCATTGACCTAATCAAATGAAAGAGGAAAACATTGGTTGAGTATTATGGGTTTCCGTGCAGTCAAGCATCATGAAGGATTGATTCTTTTTCATACACAATGATAATCTTATCAACAAAAGTTAGAAATTCGACCTATATTTCTATCATAAAATGACTCTCTCTATTCTTCTCTCAGATAAGGCCTATCGTAGTAGGCAATGGATCTAGCCAAATTAGAAATGGCGATTGTAAGAAACAATAATTTGAAAGAAAAATTCGCTTAAATTCACTAAAAAATAAATAAGCATAAAAAACTATTTAAAAAATCCAATTTCACATAGAAATTCCGCACTAGAATTAACCAAAAATGAAAATGATATTCCTTTTGAATGACAACAAAGAATGATAACTTTTGGTGAGGTAAAATATATATAATGATATATAATCCAAAAATATTAAAAGAATTTGGCCATCCCAATCAGAATAACATTATAATGCATATACAATACCAAGAAAAAATAAATAAAAAATAAGGAAAAAAATAATGAAGATGAAATCATGGACATTTTTCATTCATTTCAGAAACAGCTGAATAAAACTTGAAATTTAATAAACAATTGTCATTATTATTAATATTATCATTATTAATATTAGTATTAATATTACTGATATCATCATTATTGTTAATATCAAAGATCTAACAAGATTATTAAAAAAAATTCAGAATTCATAGATCGAATCGACAAAAAAAAATAATTTTTTGTGAATTGAAAGGCAGAAACTAAAAGAATTTTTAACGTTCATCAACCCGTCAGCAGAAATAAATCAAATGTCAGTAATGATGTTGACTATAATTCTTCATGCGTATCTAAATCTGAAATTTGAGGCTCGAAATCTTCAGTCTTGATGCGTAATAATAAGTTCTTGATTTCAGTATCATAATCTTTCCATTCAGGAATTATTCGCATCGCTGAATCAAGTTTTGGCTCCTTTGTCTGAGGATTATTACACTGAAAAGTTTTTAATTAGCTTCTTGTGAAATTTTTTCACAAAGAATGAAATCTAAACAATTTTCCGAAAAAATGCCTAAAAATATTTAATAAATTCTTCCGGAAACAGGTAGTATAAAGAAATGGATTATAAAATGGAAAATAAGGGTAATTATTAAGGGTACGATTCCCATACTCTGACGGAATAAACGGAGTAATTATAAAATACGGCTGACACTGGGGATTATTTCAAACCATTTCTGCATTCTTATCCTTCTAGGCAGTGAAGCCAACAAAATAATAAGCATTATTAAAAGGGAAAGAAATTTACCAGATCAATAGTTTTTGCCTTGGATTTCGATGCATCATCACACCACGTTTCACACCAAAGCCATTCTTGTGGCAACGATTTTATACGCACTTGATGGATCATATTATTAGGTAAATCCTAAACAAAAACAAAAAATCAATATCAATATTTTAAATATTTTTTAAAGAAGTGAATAAATAAAACGGAAAGAAAAAAAGAAAGAAAAAAAATGGAAAACCTGATCAAGATTAGCAAGACTATTCGGATCAGAACTAAGCCCTTGATATTGACCGCGTAAACGGTCTCCGGCTGCTATTTGTCGAAACTTGATAAGATCAATAACAAAAAGTGCACTGAAGAATGAGCTTTTTGATTAAATCATTTTTGATTAAATAAAGAATAAGTTTTAAAATTTTATTAAAATTTTAACCTAATGTGGTATTTGCGACCAGCAAGATGATTAGCCCAATATCCCTTTTTCCAGAAACGGAATCCATCCATTGTAGTACGGCTATCACAAAAGGGTGTAAAACCATAAGGTGCACCGCCAAGATCATATTCCATCAAATCCATTAAATCTGTTCGCACCACTTGGTCCGCATCAACAAATATGATTTTTTTAAGATCCAGTGGGAATAAAACATCGAGAAAGAGAATTTTAAATCTAAAAAATGGACAATTTCCTGACAAAATCTCGTTAAGACCTAATAAACCAAATTCAATTTTGAAATTTTTCAATATAATTAAATCTTCAAAACTCGCTGTTCTTCCTTGACGTTTCCTCGTTACAGTATCTCAATACTTTCTTGAAGATCCATGATTATGTTCGTAGGCCTTTTATTTATCATATGCGATTGAATTTAAGTGATCCACGAATTGCAGATTCGAATTCCACTAGAGTAATAATTTTACTCTTTTCTTACTATTGAAGTTGAACATTTAATACTCAACTTTGGACTCCCTAATTATTGGCCTATCAGTCTATATAATTCACTTTTTTTTTCCTTCCCATCTTTACGATGAGCCTATTACCATTGTTTTTAATAAAAATAAAACAAACTTACCCCCACATAATGCGATGCTTTTCTGTTTGCCTGTGCAGCCATTTCGGCCATTTATACTCCACTAATTCATAATCGAAGCCATAAATCTTAGCCATTATAGGTAATACTTCCTAAAATATTAATGAAATGAACAGGATAATAAATTCGAAAATGGAAAATATAACATTCTCACAAAGAATTAAAAAAACTCACCTTAAAATTTGGTGATAAATAATTTTTCAGAAGCCAAAATTTGACAGGATACTTTGTATTTTTCATTACACTCAAAATCATTATGCGCATAAATCTTTCGTAAAGATGGCCAGACGCCAGTGAAAAAATGTTGATGGCATCATACCTTTCACCGCCTGTGATTGACCTATAATTAAAAAATGAAAAAATCTTTTTTAAAATAAGAAATTTTTGAGGCCTTTACAATAAAAAAAAACTACGATGAAATTGTATTCCAAATTGATGGTTCGCTCTCTTCGTCTCCAGCTTTACCTTCCATTAAAAGATTCTCATCTTTCTTGTCTTCTTTTTTTGTAACGCGAACCCTTACAGTGCGACCACTAAACGAATCGATTACAATATTCAGTCCATTTTCGTCTTCTGACTCCGTGTTATAGTGGCTAAAAATTGAAGCTTTCATTCATTTAATTTTAATAATGAAATGTTTTTAATCAATTATTAAAAAACAACCATTTCTAATATACAAATTTTTGCACTGTATTTAGCTAAAAAAAAAAGAAATTTATACCTCGCTATATCATAAATATCCTTCGATTTTCCAGCACGTAAACGTAAACTCCACACACCAGGATTTCCTTTCAATTGAAAATAACCCTATAATGTTGTTGAAAAAGAAATTTCTAGGCAATTCAAATTTTTGTTAATCAGATTTACATCTGTTAAACTAAAATATTAAAGGTTTTTCTTTGGATCTCTTTGGGTTTCTTTGGGTCTGGGTTTTTTTTCTTTCTACATTTTCCACAATATTTTATATTTATACTGTTTATGCAATAGGGGCCATCGTTTTTATCGCTATTAGAACTAGAATATAAATATTTTTGGAGCTCGGTCCCAAAACAAAGAAAGAATAATATAGATAGTTACTGTTATTATCAAAATAAATAAATCAACGAAAAAATTACAAGATTTGCCATAACGATTGTGTCGTAAAGAGTTGGATTGCTACTTGTACCCAAAGTAAACTGTAATCCGCGAGGAGCAGCTCCACTAATTTCATCGAAGCAATGGCCTTCCAAAAGAATGTGCTCAAGTTCAAACTCAGCAATAACATGCTTAGTGACCTAAAAAACTTATCATTTAAAATTTCAGACAAAAAATGATAAAAATTTCGATTTGCCGAAAAAATGACAACAGATAATAAAAGCATACGTACTTGTTCCATTCGTATATTGTCCAGATCATACATCGCACTAACGACTTCAACAATCCAAGAATCGGGTGGAATTAAGCTGAGAGTTAACAACTGTTTGTTCGGTAATGAAGAAAAGCGAGCTTGATAAGCCGATGACGAAATACCACCGGAACTATCAAAAACTACAGTTGGTTCAAGTACTACTCGATAGAACCTAAAAAAGTGCATAATACGCGAAATAGCATCAGAAAATCAATTCGTTAATTTTTATTGAATATTAATCAATTAAAATCAATTACTCAAATACTAGCAATGTGATATGGATGAGAAAAATAATTCTTCGAATTTTAGGCCTTCCACTTAAAAACTTATTAATTTATTTTAATACCTTTTGAGCCATTTCACATTTCACAAATCCCACAACTTTTATCTTTAACATTCCACGATTCCTGTAGACTCCCTCAGTAACACCAGTTTTCTACGAATACGACTTGTAACGAGAAAAATGCAATGAGATATAAGCTAAACCGCCAAGGCTAAATAATAGGGATGAATGATAGGGAAAAGCCAGCTGTATATCTTTCTCTTCTTCTGGAAATCTCCTTTAGCCGGATTTACTAAATTTCAAGGTGAAGTTCTATTGCCACTAATCACTGATAGAATTACAAGTGAATCACCACCAGCATCACCTGAATTTTCATTTTAATAGACAGCTCGACCTTTCTGCATTAATTAAGTCAAAAGCAAAAGTGGCAGAAAGACGTTTAAAGTATATTCCTAATGGCTTATGGTTAAAGAATGAAGAAAATTAATGGACCATTATGGATACTCATCAATGGATCGAGAGATAATGATAGTGAATCAAAAGGAAGTAATTAAGAGGATAATGCGGGGAAAGAAAGATCTGAAGGCTTATAAGGGATCTAAAATTATGCGTTAAGATAAAGTTCGGGAAAAAGAAAAAAATAAGAGTTCAGGAAGATAACGGCCAACATTTTGTCATTATTAAGAAAAATATGGATAAATTCGGCAAATTTTGAAATAAATAGTCAAATTTTTTTACCTAAGACATGCATAATGACAAGGTAAATTGTTGTAAATATTACCTTTTGAGCGGCAGTTCACTTAATTTTGCTTTTGGATTCAATATTAATGTGAGATCCGCATTTACCACCTCTTGAAGAACGAAAATCAACGAGCTTAATCGTTGTGCCGCTTTTGATAGTGGATCGATGAAGCATACAATGTCCAATATACCCATAGTATCATGCTGTGCAGGAAATTTAATGACGCTGAAAACATATTTTTGAACTCTTCAATGTTTTAAACCATAATTGTGACCAATGAGCCCATTAAACTTACCAATCTATCTTAACTGTTCAACACTTTATGTGCAATCTTCAATGGCCTAAGCAACGAAAGGCCATTGCTGTCGAGAACAAACATTAAAAATTCGTAAAATACAACTTAATAAAAAATTTTTTTACTCAAGTAAATTGAAAAATTCAAATAAATTTTATTTGAATTTCTTTTAAAACCAGAGACATAATCCGAGCCCAATGGTTAAAATACCGGATTCAAAGACTGCAAGTCAGGCTCTATCAGAGCTAAATTATTTCCGAAAATACTTTCTCCTGTTAATGCATATGAACAGTTGAAATATAATTGAAACAAATTTTTCTAACCCAGCTGTTTCATTTGTTTAAAGTAAAAACTGGACATATTAATTCTGAATTTTATATATTTTATTCCATTTGAAATAAATCTTCTTGGATATAAAATGAGAAGCAATGGAATTCCAAGCTCACATTTTTATTTCTTAGCCATTACATTAAAACTATATCACCGGAACTGCCAAGAGTACAGTCAAATAGGTTATGAACTGGACTAGTGCAATATAAAACGCAATATAAATTTAGGAAGGTTGGATCCAAAAAAATATTCTTGGAAAATATCATAAGAAAATATCAACATTGAAAAATTTTGCAGATACCCGTTAGAGTCTGATGCATTAAGAAGAATCTGTCGTTTTTTTTTCATTGAATTAGCTCCAGTTAAAGCCATAATTCCAGTAATTGTATCTGACAACTTGCTTTTATCATCGGCAAATTCTGTCTTCTCAAGCTGCATTTGAATCTTCTAAAGACAGATTTCAATGAAATTTTAGATAAAATAATAATTTATAAAATTGATAAAATTTGATAAAATTTCACAAAAAATTGAAGTACTTGAGCTCCACGATTCACAATAAATTTTTCGAGCAAATCAAAATCATTAAGCTCAAAATCTTCGTTGTCATCTAATGGACCAATAAGAAGTCCATTGGTAATGATGCCTCGATCTCCAGATTTTAAACCAAATACTTTTTGAACAAATTTAGCACCGGCTACTAGTTCATCACTTAACAGCTGCTTTAGTTCTTTTCGGAATGCATTTACGTCCATTCCATGAAATTTCGAATTTTAAATCACTTTTTAATTATTAAATTTAATAACATAAATTACTAAATAATTTACATAGTAAAATTTTTTTTCATTTAAGATTGTTTATACAATATGGAACATAAAATAAGGAGGAATTTCTTGTGAAAACTAACATTTACTGCGATATCTTCGAGAGACATCGCTCCATCAATCAATTTTGAAGCAAATTCTTCCTTAACGATTTTTGTCACAAATAACTTTTTTTGATTCGGAGGCAGAACTCGCATAGCAGCATTCACTAACATCGATATACTACCAGAATGAGTAGCCGATTCAATCTAAAAGAAAAAAATAATATGAAAAATATTCTTTAAAAACAGACTTTAGAATAAACTCGCAAATATGCCCATACTTCTTTTGGATTGCTGAAAATAGCAATCCGTGTTACGTGACAGCTTCTTACATGTTTCATTGCGTTATAAACCAAACGACGTCCATCAGTGTCCTCTAAGTCAGCAACGATCCAAAGAGTTAAGGGATGAACAACATCTTCATCTTTAAAAAAACGAATATATTAGAATAAGTTAGCAAAAACTTTAAAAAAGCTAAAAAATGGTCAAAATAATGGTATGGTAAAAGTGAGCCAAATTATGATGGTATCATTGATACATACAAATACATACATAACTTTTTCCACATTATTCCACTTTTCCTACTGGTTTTCGAAAAATATATTGGATCTGATAAAAACCTGATCTGGAGAGATATCGTATCCGACCCATCATGCATTTGATATGCTTTGCCAATGGTAAGTGATGATAGTCAGAAATTATTTTTGAAGGACATGGCCCATGATCAGGAATAGTCAGATAACGAGGCATATGCAAAGGTGCATCTAGAATTCGCTTATTTATTCGTGGCATAATATGGGGCTGAAAATATATCGGCATTAATAAAATAATAATATTAATAATGATTAGCATAACATAAAAACTTTAAAAAAACTTGATAAAACTAAAGATGATGTAAAAAATAAAAACACTAAAAATAAAATTACCTGATTCAAAATCCAGTTCATCACATTGTCATCATCTGTTAATTTGCCTTTGGCTATTGCTCTTTGAATTCGACTTGTTTCTTTCATAATCTCATTTGTAACCGTTTCTTCTAATCTTAGTGGGCCAATCTTTAAAAAAATTTGAAATAATTTTCGTAATTTTATAATTTTATAATAATTTTTTAATTTAATAAAAATATTTTGTGATGTTAATATACTTTTTAAAGCATTATAATTAATTATAATTAATTGTAAATAAAATTATTAATACCATTTTAAAAAAATTATTTTCATTAATAATAATACATTAATGCTTAATGAAACGACTAAAATCAAAAATAATGGAAAGCATTAAAAAAACCCCTGAATCGTCAAGAACAATGCCATTAAGTAAAACTTTGGGCACATCTTTTAAACCACTATCTAATAAAAATTTTTTCCCAGATGATCGACCAGAATCATAATCTGTATCAAGTCCAAAAATATCGTTTAGATCCTGATCAGGATATCTTTCTTGAAAGAATGATAAAACATCATTCGACGTTAATAGATTTTTTTTTTCAGAGTTTTCTTCAGATTTTGTAAGAATCTGAAAAAAATGCTAATAATAATGAACGAATTATATCCTTATAAAGCTTAATAAACAATAAAAAACAATAAAACATTTGGAAATAAAGGAACGTTATGAGCAAAATTATTTTTGGTTAAATTTTAATAATTTGAAAAGCCATTTTTCTTTGCCATTGCTGAAATTCTATAAATGTTCTATCAATCTAACCTTTATTAGAGACGTTATTGCTTTTAAAATACCTCCATCTGTTTTAATAAAATTATACAAATTCAACATTGCAACAGAAGGATCATCAAAACCCGAAATGGATTTATCGGTATTAACCACAAAAATGAAACCTAATCTGTAAATTTTATTCGGTTTTTCAACTTTTCCTTGTAATTATTATCAAGCAAATTTTAATGTAAAGGAATAAGAATAAGAAAAATTTAAGAGATTATTCATTAGAAATTGGAATAAACGATTCTAAAAATATAGACCTGATAGGAATTTCATGTTTATAAAAGTTGTAAGCCATGTTTAAGAAATGGAGATTCTGTGTTTGTGATAAATCGATTATAAAAATCTGAAATAAGAAATATGAAAAAAAAACAAAAAAATATAAATGACAATTAGGAAATTAAAATTCACGCTGATGAAATATTGAAAAACATTCACCAAGGTAAAGAAATTCCTCGCAATTGGACGTATCATTCCTGGAAAATAAGGCTGCAACATCAGTTTTACACTATTACCCCACTGGCGATAATGCTTATCTGTATCCAGATTATTCAAATACTAAAATAAACAATAATTGGAATGATTTTCTGTTTTTTTAAGAAATGACTAAACAAATCACAAATTTTTACAAAAAAAGGATGACAATGAAGCCAACCTCAGGAGATGCTGAACGAAAATCTAAAGCATATGCAGGTTTATCTTCTTCCGCCACAAACGATTTATAATTCCTCTGAAAAAGCCATACAACTATTTATTAAAATTTTGAAAGATTGAAAATTAAAGAAAGTGCCAAATAATCCAGAAAAAAAATCTCTGGGAAAAATACATAAGAATATAAAGAATTAATCGCCCAACGATTCCTTATTCCTTATTTCTTATTCCTTTTAAGCAATAAAATCTATACAATAATTTGTTGTGGCAAAAAATGTGTGGAGAAAAAAACTGGAATAATTTTCAAAATTTTGTCCAAATTTTTCTTTTTTTAAATCTTTCCTCTTTCCATCATTAAAATCCTTTTTTATCCTGGCCCTTTACTAATATTCTTGAAACCCTACATCTGCCATATTTTTGAATCTCTATTAAAAGCTCAATTTACGCCCCTAAAATCCCAAAGTATGCTCGATTTTTCCTTTCATTTTAATTGCAATTACAAAGAAATTACAAAACTGCAAAATGACTCGAACTTCAGTGCTAAAAGAGTATAGTGAGAATATTAGGGTAATGAGGAAGAATTACAGAGTTTTGACAGATATAAAAATATTACATTGGATGGGAATACAGCAAGTAGCAAGGAAATGAAGACAAATTTTCAAAGAATATTTACTAAAAAAATCTTTTTAATAAAAAATTTAAATTAATAGGTTCTTTTCAGATCTTTTATTTTTTTCAAAGTGCAAAAAAAGTATAATAACAAGTATAAGTATCATTACTTGCAAACCGAGTCTGAAGAATCCATCTGCTAATTTCTCTTCAACTTTTAGTACATCAAGAAAGTTGTAAATATCAAAATATTCTAAATCGACAGGAATACCATTGATAAACATAGCACATTCACCTTCCATTATTTCATTTTCCGATGAATACATTGCCTGGTTTGTCACAACCTAAAATCTTTTTAATGAATTTTTGTGCTGAAGTCTGAAATTCTTCCTAATTTTTTAACCAAAAAATTCATTAAAAGACTTTGGAAGACTTGATACTTACGGCGAGTCGAAATTCAGGTCTGACAGAAACTCTCGATATTGATCGAGCCAAAAGAGGAAAGTTTTGGCTAATTTCAACCATTAAGGCCAATGTTTTATTTAAATCGGCTGAAATAATTCGCTGGGAAGCTTGGTAACTGAGATCTTGAACTTGCCAAACTTTCAGTGGAGTTAATTCATCGCGTTCGAGTAGATGAAGACGAAACTGATTCAATGCTTCTTTTTGATTTGGATGAAGCTTCCTGCAAACAATATCTTTTAGTATATTGACAAGATAAAAATTATTGTGAAAAATTTTTTATCACATTTTTATCATATATTTCTTATCATATATTTTTCGAATAGTAAATTCAAACCAAAAATTGCAAATATGAAAGAATAGCTTGGAATTTTTTTTAAATATTATTGGCAGTGAAACCTGAGAATATTGAAGTTAAATCCATTGATATCCTCATAATCATCTATGTCTTCTTCTATTTCATCATCAGCTGCTGTTGCCTCTAAATGTGGTCGGGTGTGAATATAAGATATTTAAAATATAGATTTTGATAAAATTAATTTTTTTCAGCGACATCTCATGTTTGAATGATGATGATAAATGATAAATGATAAAAATTTATATATAAATTATGAAATCTGTAAAAATCAAAATGTTGCTATATGGTTCTTGAATTAATCAACCATTGAATTTACCATTCACTACGTCTACCTTATGATAATAATTTTCAAAATTTTTCACATATCAAAAATTAAAATCACTCTAGGACCCAAAAAAAGAAACGCATTAAAATTAAGGGAGAAATTAATCATATCATAAAAAATTATTCTCATGAGAATGATTCTGGAAGAAGTCAAGGCTTATAACAGCAGATCAAATATTATGACGCAAATTTTGTAATAGTCTTTAAAAGTTTAAATCTTGCGAAAATTTATAAAATGTGATTCTGAAATGGAATTATTACTTTCAACTTCACTATCATCTACAGCTTTGTATTCCATGTTTTTAATGGCAAGTTCCACATCATAACCGGATAGTAGTATCTTATCATCGCGAACGTCCTTAAAATTATTTGAATTAATAATCCTTTTTTCAAATTTCTCGAAAAAAAAACGAAAAAGTGAAAAATATTTTAATATTAATTTTTTTTAAGAGTCTCGTCATTACTGGTTAGACTCTGCTGGTTTGTATTAGATAAATATGTCAGGGAGTGCCTAGGCGATAGATAAGTCCCATCCAAATTCCTGGACAAGTTTACTCCTGTGCAGTATTGGAACCTCAGCACCGGAACTGCACCGAACTGAATACATTGAGCCATTTTACATCACTGATATTACCAATATTTTAATATTAATAAAAATAAAAATATCAAATACTCTGCTCCAGTGTCGAAAGACATATTGGATTTGACCACTACGAGCCAAAATTTTAGCTGCTTTGTGCATTTCCTGCCAAGATTTGGTACCTAATTCACCATATACAATAACTACCACATTTTTTTCTTTTGAATTGGGAAAAACATGGTCGATGGAGTATAGACGTGGAATTACCGAGCTAAAAATATCTAAACAATTAATAAACATGTTCAATAAAATAAAAATAATAATTACAAAGAATAAAAAATAGCAAAAAATATTTTACTTAGTTGACACGTTTCTGACCAGTTCTTCAATCTTTTGTGGGTCACAAGTAATAAGATCATGTACAACAGCAAAAGCAATACAATTCTTTGCTTCTTCTTCTGATCCTAACTAAAAAAAATTCAAAATACATTTGGACGCTATTATTAATATCTGATTTTAATGTTTAATTTTTTTTTATTTTCTTCTTTAACAGCACTGACCACACCAGTTTCGCTAGCCTCATAAAATGATATTTTCGACAAACAATTATTTGAGGATAGAATATGTAGAACATCCGAAATTTGAAAAATTTTCAATGACATTCTAGTCAATGGAGCATAACACCTGAACTCAATGGAAGTAACATATTGCTTGACTTGACCACTGTTTACTCCATTGCAGATATTAATTATAGGTAAATGGAATTTTTTCTAAGCACTATTACTGAATAGACTTGCTCCATTTATCAACAAAATAAACCTCTCGATTTCACCACATGTGAGTCACATTTTATTCCGCTCATATCGCTGGACCATCAATCTGGACATAATCTGACCATTATGCTGACTAGGTCATTTTCTTCATGACCATTACATGAAGCATATTTAACTATATAGGGGGTAGAATGGCTCAGTGGGTTGTTGCTCGATTGGGAGTGCCGATGCTGAGTTTCGCTTCCCCACGGGAGTAATTCGTACAAGAATCAGGGTGGTATTGGCGACTCATCTGTATTTCTATCGCCTAGGAACTCCTTGGAATATTGCTCAATGTGACAAGTGGAGTAAATTTAACCAGTAATGGCTCTTAAAAAAAAAATTTCCCTGTAAGCCTAAAACCTATGATGGATATGAAAAATGTAAGAAGATCTAAATTAATATAGTCAGACGAGAAAAAAAAATTGAAATACAGACGGTCCTGCGATATATGGGCTCAGATGACTGAAAGAGTAATAGCTTCTATTACTTTCAGCATAGAATCAAGCGATTTGGAAACGTCTTAACGTTATGTGTTGGATTTGGTCGAATCAGCCCAACCAATTACATTACTGGTGCGAATTGTTACAAAAAAACAATAAATTTTACTAACCTGTTGAAAAAGTACAATACTTGGAGAATGTACACGAAGTGACAATGCAAATTTAAGTAATTTTATACGACTTTTTGAAAGAAAAGAATTTGCGAGCCTAACTGCAATGTCATGTTGCATTTTATCAGTGTCTGCAAATCATAACAAATATATGAATAGCTTAACAAAAAATTTAATATAAATAATTAATAATTTGAAAATTATTTGAAAGGAAATTATTGATAAACTGACACAAGAACTAATAAAAAAGAAAAACCTACAAGAAGGCCATTGTTCAGTATTAATTTCGCTATTGATAATATCAATATAACTCCAAAAAAGACTATTATCATCTTTGGCGATAAATTCACTGAAAAGAAATGATCAAAATATCAGTATTTATAAATTTCAGCAACAATTCTCAAAAAAAATCATATAAATCAAAATAACCTTGTTTCAGCTAGAAATGACGTTTGCGACCATTTTGCATGTAACGATGTCGTTACAGTTTTCTTGTTTATTTCACCATTAATAATAATAATAACAATAAATAATAAGAGAGAATATAAAAAAATTTTAGAGTGAAGGAGAATTTTCATTAAAAAAAACTGAAATTTTATTGGATTTTATTCAAATGAAAAAATGGAAAAAAATGAGAAAAATCGGATTTCATAAAAAAATTTCAATTTTAATCTTATAAATTCACCCCCGATTCAAGAACTTCATAGGTTTAGATAACTTAAACCCAATTTTTTATCTCGCAGTGCGAAAGATGGAATTCCATTTCGGACAGCAGCCACAGAAGGACTTTATCCCATACATGGAATCATAAAAAAGGTTCACATCTATTCAGCGATAATCCTATAGTCTACCTTTAATAATGCTTTCGTACATCCTATTTATTCACTGTGCTGAAAAAACCTCATATGGTTCAACATTCACCTTAACACTATATGAAAAAGCAATGATTTCAAATTACAGGCATAGTACCGGATCAATCCCAAATTAGCAGCTAAGTGAAACAGCCAAATTAGCAACGATGCGAGATAGAAACAAAAATCGATGGTGTCAGAGCACAGCCAACGCTATCTTTCACAACTCATCCAGAATTTGAAGTGTACCTTGCAGCATATAAATCCTTACGATGGGGAAAGCTTAAAGATCCAAAATTTGAACACATTTGGCCAGAAAGATTTTTACGGCCGCAACAGCCAGCGCAATCAATGAATTGTACCAAGAATGCTATTAAAATAATAAGAGATTACAATAAAAATTATAAAAATTTTGGAAAAACGAAAATAATAAAAGTCCAACTCATTACATATGAATGAATGAAATTTGTTTATCCCCGGCAGCAATAAGCAAACAAATGATGAATTATAAATTTACAAATCAAACAACAAATAATGAGTAATAAATATATGAAATAATAGAGAAAACGATAACTGATAAATGATTAGTAATATAATCATTGCAATTGAGCATAGAATGGCTCAATGAATTGTTAGTCAATTCAAGCGTTGCTGAGATTCCACTTCTCGCATCCAAATCGCAAAAATCTAGGTGATGCTGGCAATTCACTTAAATTTCTATCACTCCCAGGTATTTGTCTAGTGCGGTAAGCCAGTGTGAGCGAGTCTAACCAGTAAGAAAGAGAGCCTTGAAAAAAGAAAACGAAAACATTCCAGCTGCTAGCGGCGACTCACCCATATTTAAATGCCAATTCACCTCATCTTTTATTCCCCATCTAATGAGGTGAAGCGAAGTGAGGGAGGCTAACCAAAAATAGCGGAAACTTAGACTTTTATTTATACTTATGATCACTAAAAAGTTAAATAAACAATAATCCAATCCCAATGACCCAATCGTTCGAAAACCCTCCGCGAATTCTCCTATCGCGCGCTTTAAACAACAACGCACGCCAAGAAAAAGGACCGTTGCTGGAGTGGTACAGTGAGGAAGGTTGTAATACAGGTGAACCACCGGCAATATCTGCAATCAATCATGAATCGTTGTTCTTTATTATTTCATACAATTCATTTAGACGATAATCGAAAACAAATCCGTCTTTTTAGTGCATTTCAAAGCTCCCAAAGACAAATAATTTCAAAGGAGAGAGTTCAAAAAGAAGAAAGAAAAGAGAGAAGGAGGAGGAATTGAAAGGAGAAAAAAGACCATTGCATATCTAATAAAATCTTCGGTGCAGGTGAAAAATAGGTGAACAAAGTTGTCACTTGTTGAAATACACAAAGTCACCATCGCTGCCTTACAAGAAGCATTATTTTCTGAAATTTATGTTGCGAGATTAGAAAGTTCCTTGAAATTAAATTAAATGATACGCCAATCATTTGCGATTTCCGATATAATTGAAGCAGCGCTTTTTGAATTATACGATTGCGAATAATTTTTATTATTGCAAAAATTCTGATAAATAATTTTTAAATTTAATTATAATTTCAATTTATAAAAAATTTTATTTTATTTTTTTTGAAAATCTAAAAATTTATTTATTTAAAAAAAATAAATGGAAATTATCTATAAAATTCAGAATTCAAAAAACAATTACAAAAATTATTTAAATAAAAATTCAAATCAATTAAATTAGATTAAATTAATTTTAATTAAAATAAAACAATGACTAAAAAAAAATGAATAAAAATGAATTTCTGCAAAAACTCGTCCAATAATAAAATTTTCGTATATAATTCGTGTAGTTCGATATTATTTTTAAAAATTATTTTTTATTAAAATCATAATAATTATTACAATAATTTGTAATAAATTTTGCGATAAAAATTATTAATTTATAAGCAAATAGAATGAAAATATGAATAAAACGCTGAAAATATGAATAAAACGCAATGAAAACAATATGAATTAAAGGTTTAAAATTTTTAGCAAATAAAAATAATTTTAAATTTTTTTTTTATTTACAACAATCTGTAAATCTATCTAAGTTTAAATAAAATGCACGCAGTTTGCATGCAATTGATCAGTGCATGACCCATGCAACAGAAATTTTTCTTTGAGCAATCTCACTAGCAAGTGATTATTGATATATTTAAATATCTATCTAAAAATTTATCAATTATCACTGAACGACATAAACAAAACCTATTTTTTTGCATTTCCTCCTCTTCATTATCATTGACAATAATTATTGATAAATGATTAAATGATAATTTGAATCTTTCAAATTAAATTGTATAGTTAATTTTTAATTCGTCACTGCCAATTATTTCCATTTCTCTTTCAATGAGCGAATTTAATCCTATTAGAGAACCGGAATTGAACATACGCTTGAATGGTGTTTTTTGGTTCATATTTTATCATATATTTGGTAATTTGGTGTGAATGAAAAATTGAGACCTTTTATTTAAATTATAATATATTATTTATCATATATTATTATTACTATTATTATTACTGTTATATTATTTATTATATGATTATATTATACCACTATATTATTATTATTGTTATATTTATTATTATTATTATTGCTATTGTATTTATTGCTATATTGTTATATTTTTCTAATATTGGCTTAATATTAAATAGTTAATGGCCTATATGTGGTGAAAATTTTTGACTCAAAAACTGAATTTCGTTCAAAAAATTTTATATTTATATTATTATTAAATTTTATTAAATTAAATTTTATATTATTAAATTTTATATTATTATTTCTATATTATATTTAATAATATTTTTGAATAGATTTAATTTAATGGACGAAATCTTTCTGGAACAATGCTTTGTTTTTTTTTCTAAAAATGCTCATCATTTCTGATCGGACTTGCTCGCTAACTAGTTATTACGTAATTGAAAATTTTTTTCAGGAAGTTATTTGGCGATAGAATTGTTGATGAATCGTTAGTACCACAGAGGAATTGTGAAAAATAGGTTAGAATAGAAATTGCCGAGAACAGAACTCGAATATAGGAGAAATCCATAAATTCTAAAGAATTTATCAAATTAATTTGTTAATAAGAAGAATAATTATTTGATTGTAATAAAATTTGATTGTAACAAAAATCTACGTAAAAAAATAAATAACCTTAAATAAAACTTAAAGGATAAATAACCTTAATATTTCTGATTTTTAAAGCGTTTTTATTTTTATTTATTTATTTTACAAAAATTGGAAAGACAATTCAGCTAATCAGAAATTTTCTTTCCTCTCCATGTTTAATAAATTTTTAAATTTTTATGTATAAATTTTAAAATTTTTATGTTTAATAAATTTAAAAAAATTAGTCGCTATAATGTAAAATAAATAAAATAAAATAAAAAAATATTTAACGTTTGCTAATGATAAATAATAAGCAAAATTTAAAACTAAAGGAACAACTAAAGGAAAAGAAAAGAAAAAGCAAAAATTTTAACTGAAATATTCTCTATTTTTCAATCATAATTCAATCATTTTCAGTTAATAATGTAGAATTAAATTATATTTCATAGTAAACGAAAAATTAAAACGATAAATCAAAAAAAAAACTTATTTATTTGAAAAAATTTTTTACAATAAATAAAAAATTACGGTTACAATAAAGAAAATAGCTAAAATAGCTAAATTCATTACGATTCAAGATTACGGAAATTCCTGGGATCTGATACCGCTGCCATCCATTCAATTCTTTTTAATGCCGTACTTATTTGAACCAATTTTTTACGACGATTTTCAAATAAAGCTTCTTTTTCCAACTAAATTAAAATTGATATGGTTAATGTTTTTAACGCTTTATTCTATTCGCAATTAACTAAGCTTGGAAAAAATAAAAAATATTTAAAAACCAAAAAAATAAAATAAACTTTATAAAAAAAACAAACAAGTTCGGCTGGTTTAACATATGGTGTTGGATCGGCCATCATGGCAATAAATTCATTCTTATCGATAATTTTCGGTGGTTTCGGACGATCAATCCTTATTCGGATTTCAACGATTTTACTGAGAATTTGTTCACAATATTGCAAAAGTTGAAGAGGATCTCCACTATTTTGATGATGACGCCGATCATTCGGTTTTAATAAAATAGTCATTAACATGAAACACCTATAATAAAATGTAACAAAAAAATTTTATATATTAAAATACATTATATAATAAAATATAATATAGTAAAATATTTAATATTTAAATTAAAATAAATTATAAATTAAAATATTTAAATTTAATACTTAAATTTAATTTTCTACAATTAGTATTATTTGATAGTTATCGTTTTTCAGTAAACCTTCCAGTAGCATAGCAATTTTGAACAGAGATTATCTTAGCATAATGATAAAACAAAATATTGCCTTTGCATAAATTCTTGTACTAATTCTCTGCCGATTATCGCTAATGATTCGATTGAATAATTCTGCAGATTATTCAATATTTCTGGTGAATAAGGAGGTGGATTTAGTGATCGCTCCGTCTTTACTTCAGACTTTTTGCTTTCTTCCACTTTATCAGTTGCTCTAAATAAAAAGTTTTATAGATTAACAAAAGAAATGAAAAAAAAAAACCAAAAGGATTATTTAAAATCAATTTCTGAAAATGAAACAAAAAAAATTACAAAAGAGCAATTTGATTTAAATTTTTATAAAATTTAATTTAATTTAAAAATAAAATGAATTAACTTTTAATTAAAATGATTTTAAAAAAGAAATTATGTGAATTATGAAGAAAAAATAGATGAAATTCCATAATGATTGATTAATTTAGACTAAACAGGGTGGAGAATATTTTATAAAAATTAAAATAATTAAAGTAACGAAAAAAAGGAACCTTTGTTGCTGATTTGTTAATTGAACTGCAATTGCCGATTTTTGCTGTTGTTGTTGTTGCTGTTGAAGTTGTTGTTGTTGAAGTTGTTGTTGTTGTTGAAGTTGTTGTTGTTGTTGAAGTTGTTGTTGTTGTTGCTGTTGAAGTTGTTGTTGTTGTTGTTGTTGTTGCTGTTGAATTTGTGTTTGCATATTTTGCTGGAACTGTTGTTGTTGCTGTTGAGTAATTTGCTGATAACTTGTTGGTATTTGCTGCTGCTGTTGTTGAGTGATTTGTTGATAATTTGTTGGTATTTGTTGCTGGTGCTGCTGAGCAATTTGTTGATAACTTGTTGGTATTTGTTGTTGTTGTTGAGTGATTTGCTGATAACCTGTTGGTATTTGCTGTTGTTGCTGTTGCTGTTGTTGAGTGATTTGTTGATAACTTGTTGGTATTTGCTGTTGTTGTTGTGGAATTGAATGAGAATCGATTTGTGCATTGAAATGTTGTGCTGCTACTGTTGGATGAAAAAGCTGCTGCCTCATAGTTGCAGACGTTGGATATTGTTGAGATGAAGATTGACTTGCTGCTGATGTTGTTGTTGACGTTGAAGTCATTGAATAACCTCGAGGAACTGGTGCATTAAGCAATGCACTACCACTAAATACGTTCATATTTGCCGAATTCCCCATTCCTTCTGCACCTAACATTGCTTGCCGACGTTGATCAATTGTTGCATTTGCTCCATATAATGCTGGATCTATAATTAAATACATTTAACAACCATTTTATGCAATATACTTTGCCAAAAATATAATATATAATCATTAATAAGAGAAGTAATAAACCGATCATTGAAAAAATGCCCAAATGGCTAATGGCTAATGGCTAAAGGACCAACTGCTTGGCCAAATGAAAGGGGTGCAATTTAATTTAACTAATAGAGTCCAAAATTATGAGAGCTATAATAATGTAAAATTTAAATATTATTAAAATTAACTTTAATTAAATTAAACTAAAAGTTAATATTTAATTAAATTGATTTAAAAAATTTAAAAAAACCTTGATTTGATTGTGGAAAATACATTTGCGATTGATTATTACTCATTTTCAATTCTAAAATGAAAAATTTACTTTTTTGCTTATCAGAAAATTAAAAAAACTACCAAACGCTTCAAAAATCATCCCCAACAATCTTTCGAAAATCAATTTCTAGATGGAAATTCTGGTTAATAAACTTCTTCATGTCAACCTGAAATCTGCAAAAGTCCGTATTTTAGTAAATTTGTAAGAGTCAGCCGATCTCCTCCCAGATTGGATTTCCCACAACCCATCTCTACTTCTATCGCCAAGTGACTCTATAGCACAATCTGCTTGCTTCAATGACCCAGTGGGTTTGAGTTCATTTAGGATTGGAATGAGAATTCTTACGAAAGAAGAAAAAGAAAACAGTCTAAATTTTGTGGATCATCGAATGTTAACGCATTTTCATAATAATAATATTATATAAAAATTTATTTAGCGAAATTCAACTATAATTACAGCAAACAAATCAGAAGATTTTTGAAAAAATTCGGTAATTAGTGGAAAATTTCAGATTGGAAATTTTCGCGCACTATTAGAAGTCATTCGGATAGGTTACGGCTAAACGCAAACTGAGGGTATTGGTTCGATTTGTTTAAAAGCAGATTAGAAGTGAAACCTAAGGATTGCAACTTTATCTTTTGGTGAAATCGGTGAAGATATTATAAAATGATTGGCCTTCTTATTTATCCAATGCTGAGAGATATGGGCAATGAAAGTGGAGGATATTAAGAAGTTATATAACCCTTTAACCACTCATTTCATCTTAAAGGTTCGTCGACTGGGCAGAATCTCACATAACCGCATCCATCTTCGTTCAAATATGGCTCGCATTATTATCACGGAGGACGCGCCAGTTAGGACTCGTTCTTTGTCTCTCCTCAGTAGCTGACACATATCTCGTTATTTGCTATATCCTGTGATGAATGGCGTCAAAAGCAAGGTGGATCAATCAAGATTTAGACTGGTGCATTCAGGAAAGATTTTGAACCTATAGGTGGACCAGTAATAGATGGACTTAGACGATGGAAAAAGGAATGGCTTCTATTGTTGCAATTGTAGCCAGCGGAGGTAGTCAACCAGTAATGTCGAGAGCTGTTATAACGTTAAGAGTAGGGCATTTCCATGCTGCTCGATCTGATATTATAGATGCTGAAAATAAAAAAAGCTACTCATTTTTCCAAGCCCATTTGCCTCCTATATATTGAAAATCTTTGAATCTATTAATCCAAATCTTGATTTATCACCCTTGCACTGGACGCCATTCATTATAGGGCTTAGCAAGTAGCGAGATATGCGTCAATACCTGTGATAAGCGGCGAAAAACATTGTTGAGCCAGTTTGACGACCATTTGTGATAATATTCTTAACGATATGTTGAATGAAGGTGGATAAGGCGATTGCGCGCGATGAGTTTTTTTCTATTTCAAGGAACATTTTTTTTCTATTTATTTTTTTAAATTTTTTTAAAATTAAAATTTTTGTAAAATTAATTTTTCTTTTATTAAACTCTTGAAGAATTTAATAACTCTAAATTTTAAGAAAATTCAAAAATTCTTAAATTAATGTCCATTTTTTTAAAAGGAATTATTGCCGAGCAATTATTGCTCAGATTATTGCTCTTAAAAATTCCAGTAGAAATAAAACGGTCATTCAAACACTCGGGTATTAGCTATTTGTATTTCCATAATTAAATTATCTCTCAGCAAAATTTTTCATTATATCAAAAGCCAAATCAGAAGTGATATCAGAGATTATTAGCTTAAAATCGTTCCTCTGGCTTATCGTATTAGGCAAATATGCAAGGCACTATCTTGGCGATAGAATTACGCCATCGACCGTCGAAATTACAAGTGATTTTATTCACTTTAGAAGTATTGATTGAAGAATGGCCTATAGGCTCTTTAAAATAAACTTCATAACTTGCGTTACGTTAAATTACTGAAAGAGTTCCACTCAATGCTTAAATGACATAGAAACTGTCGTCTCGAAGTGTGTCGACCACTACGAGAAACGGGAATAAATCTATCTTTCAAAAATCCCGTTGATTTTGGCGACACAGTTGTATTTGTATAATTTTCACTTCTACGAGAATCTGATAAGCCGATTGGTCTAAGCAAAAATTATGAACGCTCTTCGAAAAATGGAGAAAAATGGAAATTTTGTGGGATTTTTTTAAAATGCGATTATTACAAATTTTTAAAAATTTGGATTTGTTTTTTCTTTTCTGTTTTTTTATTTAATATTTATTTTGTATTTAAATAATTTGTAAATAATGGAATGAACAAATAACAAATGAACGATAAAAATTTATTCCATTAAAGATATATTTCCATTTTTTATATAAATAAATAAAACTTTTTTTTTCTTTTTAAACTCTTACAATTCACATGAAAAATTCCAAATAAAAAATAATTTGAACGAAAAAAAAAACAATCACAGTATGCAAAATATTGATATTTATTTAATCAAAAGAATGCGAATTTCAATTCTAAAAAAGAATAAATAAAAATTTTTTTCAAAAAAAAAAAGAAATTTCTATACATTTCACCGGGAAATATTTCGTCTTTTAAAGAAAAAATATTGAAAAGTAGAATTTTTTTTAAAAAAAAAAGAATTGGAAAACATTAATGAACAATTTTTTCTAATTCTTTTTTTGGTTTTTTTCTTCGAAAAAAAAATTTTTTTTAGAAAAGTCAATTTGAAAATATAATTTTCATTTCGAATAAATTTATTTTCTCATTTTTTTTCTCAAAGAAGAAAATAAACTGATAAAAGAAAAATGATAGAAATAATGTAAAGGATGAAGGGATCGCTGATGGATTCTTACGAAAATAAAATAACGTTGGATAAAAAATTTCTTTCGCGAAACGCTCGTGAATAATGAGACATTTGGCTCATCGAGAAAAGATTTTAAGACTAACGGCTCGCGAAAAAAATTTAGTAAGCGCTATTTTATCTCAATTACTTCTATCGTCTTTCTATAGGATCGCTGTATCAGCCCACTTGCCCAGGAAATCACTCGCTCGGATATTCAACGCACACCCTAAATCCTGGAATTTCCAACAGTTCTACTGCCAACCATTTCGCTTCTATATTCTACACATCCTAAATTCCTAAAAATTCCATCAGCGATTACAATGAAAGACAGCAAAAAAGGCAGTAGAAACAACGAAAGACAGAAAAAAAATTTGACAGTGATCAGAAAAATGGCAGTAAATAAAAAATTCATAGAAATATCGCATAGAAGCCAGCAAATTTTAGTTGTTTGTTTTTTCTTTTATTTTTCAAGAAATCTTTCATATTTTCCTAAGATAATAATATGAAAGGAAAATGAAAATAATCTGTAAAGGAATGAATAATTTAAAAAATGAGATAAATGCACGAATCCAGAGATCTTCGATATCGAATTCTTACATTTTATCTCATTCATAAAAATTTTTCCTTCCTTTTTCTAAAATTTTTTTTTCAATTTTTTGAAAAATTTCCCTATTGCAAAAAAAAATTTAGATAAAAACTATAAGTCAGTTAAAATCATTCATTAAATTTTCACATAAATCTATTGATTTTTCTAATAAAAAAATTAGCAAATTGATCGAATTTCTTTTATGAAAAAAAATAGGGAAAAATTTTAAATTTAAAAATTTTAACCGACTTTTATAAATGGCAGTGTTATTGAAAATGGCAGTGAGAAGAGAAAATTTTTAGGGAAATTTTCCTGAAAGTTTAAAAAAAAATTGCTGGCTGTCTGCGAAAAATCTTTTTTATATATTTTATAAATATAAATATACAATTATTATTTTCGAAAGTGATCACTTCGAAAAGAAAAAAAAACGCAAAAAAAGCATATATACTTAAGCACATAATGGACCAATGGAGTTTGCCTTGTTGTTTGTGGTTTCCTCCCCTCCACCCATAGGAGTAATTCATTACAATTTTACTCCTCCCAATAGGTAAACCACAACGAACTCCTTTTCTTCTCTTTCGCCATTCCTTTACTGCAATTAATATAATTACACTAATACGAAAAGAAAAATTAAAATGACCTTGGCGAAAAATTAATTAAATTCGATTTTCATTCAAATCTTAAAATATTAAGAGATAAATTTTTAAAAAAATAAATAAATTTTAAAATTTTCTAAATTTTAAAATTAATTAAAGTTTAATTTCTAATTAATTGAAGAATTAAAATTGAAAAAAATAGTCGTAAAATATGAGAAAAAAATTTGCGCAAAAAATTTTTTATAAAAATTTAATATTAATGTGAATAAATTTAGTTAATTTTTATAAAAATTTAATATTTAAATTTACAATATTTAATATTTATTATAAATAACAAATAGTTTTAATACTTTTAAAACACGAGAGCGATTTCAGTTGATAAGAATTGCAATAGAATTTATACCCATCGAAAATTTAAAAAAAAATTCCATTTTTGAATTCCATTCAATTCCAGTCGAACCTAAAATTAATTAATCATTTATTAGTGCCAATTTATTATAAAAATAAAAATTTAGCAGCAAAAGTTCATTCACTAAAACATTAATCACCTTTTTAGCTCGGTTATCCTTCCCCTCTCCCCGTCTCCCCTCTTTTTTTCCTCTCTCCGCAATTTCCATGGATTAATATATGAATATGTTTCGTCTTCTATCAATCTTTCGCCTTTTTCATTAAAATTTTTATATTTTTAGTTTTAGTTTTTAAAAATAATTCCACTAAATTTATGAATTATTTTTATTAAATTTTCTAATTTCTAATTAAAATTCCTAATCAATTAATTGTTATTCGAAATCTTTTTCAAATTTTTAATTTATATCATTGTTTTTCCATTAAATTCAAAAATTAAAATCTAATTTAATTTAATAATTAAAATATAAATTTTTTAAAAAATCTATTGAAAATTATTAATTAATTAATATTTATTTATTTCGATTTTCTTCTATTTTCTTAATATATATTTTTCTTTTTCTTGTAATAATTATAATAATTAATAATTTAAAAAAATTTTTTTTGAGACCACTGAAATAGTAATAATTATTATTTAATTATAATAATTATAATTATTATTCAATAATAACAATAATTATTATTACTATTATTAAAGTGTTAGTCGCTTTAATGATATTTATTCACCTATTTACTTTTCTGCTTTCTTAATTATTTACTTACTTACTTATTTATTTTCAGTGAATTTAAAATATTATTCTCAGACGATGAAAAAATAAAATAAAATATAAATACGATACATTCGATTCGACTACGATTTGTTATTACTTTTTTCTTTATTTTTTCGCCATTCACTCGGTCGTTTTCAACATTTTGTTTGCTAAAAAAAAATGATTCGAAAGGGTTGTTCGTTTCATTTCTTTTTTCTGTTTGCTCTGCAAAATACTTTTATGTATTTGTCGGATGCGAAAATATAAACAATATTAGCAATTAAGTAAAAGCAAAAGCAAAAGCAACAGGAACAATTATCAGTTCATCTAATCAATGCGAATTCGCTTATCAGTCAGTTGTTTAATCAATTAGTAGTGAATCATTGCGCATTCGCTTATCAGTCAGTTATTTAATCAATTAGTAGTGAATCATTGCGCATTCGCTTAGTCAGCGTTAGTTAGTTAGTTGGTTTAGTAAATTTAATTTAGTTTCGTTTAGTTTAGTCGATCGTCAAATTGAATTGCCTCATTCATTCTTTCATTTATGCACGTTCATTTGCACTATTTTATGTGTAAAACCCTAGCGATCTCTTATCATTTCATCAACTATTTCCAGTTTTTTAGTCTCTTTTATTGTACTTTGGACTTCTATAAATTGATAAGTAAGTGAACGATGATGTCTGCGTATGTGTCTGTGCGTATGTTATGTGTCTGCGCCTCTGTATGTGTACTCTGCTCGTACATGTCTGCGCCTCTCCATGTGTGTCTGCTTGTAGATGTCTGTGCTTCTGTATGTGTGTCTGTTCGTGTATGTCTGCGCCTCTGTGTGTGTGTCTGCTTGGTTATGTCCGTGCCTCTGCATGTGTACTCTGTCCATGCCTTTATTTGTGTGTCTGTTCGTGCATGTCTGTGTCTTTGTATGCATGTCTGTCAGTCTGTCCGCATCTGTGTGCATATGTCTATGTGTATGTGTGTGCATGTGTGTCTGTGCGTATAGGTGAGGTGTGTGAGCTGTCATTTTTATGGGCAATCATTTAAAAAAAGTGCATTCCACTAGTTTTTAAATTTAAACAATGAAAACCAACCGATCCGCGTATTTCCTACAACATTTTTTTTAGTGTAATAAAATAAGAATACTTTTTTTTAAAGCAATAAATTATAAAATAATATTTGATTTAAATATAAAAATTTTATAAATTTAAAAATTCATAAAATTGAAATTTATAAAAAAAATTTCATAAACTTAATAAAAAATCTCTATCAAATTTAATTTATTTTTTTTTCAAAAGATGTGATTTCCATATTTTTCTAATGAATAAAACTAAATATGATTAAATGTGAATGATTAGTGAGTGAATGAACCAATATATTCAATATTTATTGTTATTATTATATGAAATTAAATTTAAAAATTTAAAAATCTTATAAAAATAATAAAAAAAAATTAACATTATGATAATATAACTTACCTTACATAATAACGCACGTAGTGAAAAATGTGAGAATTTGATAAATTGATTTGTTTAATTTGAACGATCCGCAATAATTAATTCATTCTAAAATAAGTTAAATTAATATTAATATTAAATTAATATTAAAAGAATGAAAAAATTTTTTCGAATAATTTTAAAATTTATTAAAAAATAAATAAATATATATTCTAAAATTTAAAAAGAAAAGAGCCATTTAAAAAATCAATAGCGTCGTATGTCAAAATGAAGAAATAATGGACACGATAACCGAAATGAAATTTTAGAATAAGAAGAATCTGATGGATAACCGACAATCGATATCTTTTTTTAAAAAAAATTACCTAATTTAAGTGAATTTAGAAATGAACGCATTAATAGTAGCAATAATAGCATTATTATTTTATCAATAATTTTATTTTAATTTTAAAAACATTTTTAAAAATATTATACTACTACTATTATTATTACTATTACTACTATTACTACTATTTTACTACTATTATATTTATTAATTTTAATATTATTATTTATTATACATTATATTATTATTACTGTTATTATTGCTATTATATTTATAATTATTATTATCATCGTTATCACTATTATTATTATTATTATTACTAGCAGCTAAAACGACAACGAAAGATAAAAATTTTCCAACAAGCCAGACGACTTCATCTCGTTTCGTTTCGTTTACAAAGACGCGAAAACGCGTTTTTCGAAGCCTTTTATACGTTTTATTTTAATAGAGGGCGGGGGCAAATGTACTATTTTCTTTTTCCGATTTTTTGATTATTCGATTTTTTTTCGAAAAGTTCAAATTTTCTTATTTTTCATCTTCGTTGATGAATAAAATTTTTACAATTATTTTACACATTATTTTTACGCAAAATTTTTTTCAGATTTATTTTTTTAAAAATTTCAAAAGAAAAAACATTTTAAAATCTAAATTAAATAAAAGAAAATTAAAAGAAAAGAATAAAAGAAAATAAAAGAAAAATAAACGAAAGAAAAAAAAGCAAAGAGAAAATAAATATATTTTTATTTTTATTTAAAAAAATTTTATTTTTATAATTTTTGAATTTTTTTTTGACTTTTTATATTATTTAATTCGTTTTAAATAAAAATAAATAAATAAAATAATGAATAATAAATATTTAAATAAAAAAAATCGAGTGGTTTTTGTTATTTTTAATTATTGGTACGAATCAAGGTACTTGAAAAAATGATTCAACCTTATAGAACCAATGGAACTAACATATTTCATAATGTTTTATTGTAATAAAAGGAGAAATGAATAACATTGATAATAATTTTTGATAACAATAATGTAACAATATGATAACAGTATTAATAATAATTGATGGCAACAATTGGTCACAACTGATAACAATAATTATTATTAATATTAAATAATAATAATAAATAAAATCAAATTTAATGAATTTTGCAAAATTTTATTTGTAAATAATATCGTTATCAATAATCAAAAAATAATAAAATTATATTAAAATCACGAACGTATTTATAATAAATAAAAAAAAAAGTGCGTAGGATGCACAACAACTGGCAAGCAGGCAAAAGCAAATAGGCAAATAAGCAATTATTCAGGCAAGCAGGAAAGCAAGGAGGCAGGCAGGCAAATAAGCCAGCAGGCAGGTAAGCGATTATGCCAGGCAAGCAAGGAAAGTAAGCCAGTAGGCAGGAAACAATTCGATTCGTTTGCTTAGATTAAGAGCTTTGATTCATGAAAAATGAGTTTCGCTGGAGTTTCGCTGAGGATAAATTTAACTTTAAATAATTCAAACAAAAATATAAATGCTTTAAGTTATATATAAATTTCTTCATTTTCTAAATCGACTGGTTCATTCATTTAAAAAAAAAAAGCTAATTAAGGAAGGATAAAAACGAACGAGAACGAACAGAGGACGAATAGAGGACAAATGGAGGACAAATGACGAAAGGCTAACAGAGGAGGGAGGACATAAGATAAAAGATGGATGTATGGCTGAATGATATGATATTAACCAAATCAACAACATTCTTTTTTTTTTATCATTTTTGCTTGTCTTTATTTTTTAATATTATCAGTGATATGAATAAAAACTAGATTTTTGAGAATTAACCAATTTCCATTGGCAAATTTTCATTATTCTTCCTTCCTCCAACCATTATTATAATATTCTATGGACAATTGTCAGATTATCGTAATCGTGAAGAAAGGCAAGAATTCGGATCCTATACTCGAGAAGTGTAAAATCATCATTGAAAAATCCTGTTGGTTCTATTCATCACTGTTATCACTGTTATCGACCTTTTTATCATTAAATGATAAGATTATCTCTAGTAAAAAAAAAGTGATTACGGTAAGTTACTTGTATTATGCATCATTTACTCGTAATATTTCGTTTTTTTGCAAAAATCTTTTTTTGAAGAAATCATTTGGAAAAATGAACCATAAATAGTGACGAAAGATCAGAGAGTAATAAAATTTCGACTAAAAATGAATTTAATGGAACTAAAGATCGGTTGTTAGGTTGATAATTTATCAAATAGTTATAATAAATTTAAAATGTCATTCTATAATTTCTGTGAATCTATCGATTCTACTAATTTCTGACAAATTGAATAATTGATAGTTCCCCAACCCCCCCCCCCCCCCCCCCCCCCCCTCCCTCCCTCACCTGATTATTTCAATAAATCAATTCAAAAATTCAATTATAATTGATAAATTATGATTCTTTCTCTATCTCTAGTGCACGCGCGCAATGCACCTATATTTTACGAAATGATAGAGACTTTTATGGATTTTATCAAAGTCTCTCCATTCTCTTTCCCCATGGGGATTGACTCTTTATTCTGCTGGAGTATATTTTAGCACCATACTAAATTTTGCATTTAACTATTCCCTATGGGTATTATTAGAATTTATAGTAGAAAAACGCTCTCCTCTTGTTTGCTTGTCTCGAATTGTTGCCTTACTGCATTTTACCGTAATAATAATAAATCAACGAATTATAATTATTTAATTTAATATTAATTTAATTAATACAATCATTTAATTAAATATTTATTTAATTTTAATGTTAACCCATTTTAATATTTATTTTGAATTTTTTTTTACAAATTTTCATTGAAAAGTTTAAAAAATTTTTTTAATTTATTTGCATTCGCAGAATGGCACCAAAAAAATTTTTTTCCAATCATTTTTGAGCAATAAATCTTCATTCAATCCTTTTTAATAAAAATTATTGATTAAAATAAAAATAAAATGTTTATTTTCAGAAATTTTAATTTGAAAATATTTAAAAAAAAGCAAAACTTCTATTTTATATTTTATACTACTTTTACTTTTATTATTACTTTTATCTTTTTTTTCACGAATTTGATTTTAAAAAAAATATTTTATTTTTATAATTTTTATATGAATAAGATTTTATCAAATGAAACTTATTCATATTTGTTTATTCCTAAAAAATGAAAAAAAGAAAAAAAAATTATTTCAAAATTTTTAATGCTTTTTGTAAATTTTGAAAAAATAGAAAAATTTAAAATTGTTTGGAAATTGAAATTACAAAAAATTTATTAGAAATATTCTATGAAAAATAAATAATAAATAAATTTATTTCATTTTAAGTTTTGTCTAAAATGATTCTAAATTATTTTTTTTAAATAAAATATTTTTACAAAGATGAAATACTGTAATAAAGGAATTTTTCTTCTATTTCTGTAGAATTTTTTTTAGAAAAAAATATTTTTTAAACTTTAAAATTACGCGAAGATTTTTTTTGGGTTTTTTCAATTTTTATTCCAGACTTGCACAGCTTTCTTCTGTCTAAGAAAGTTTCTATGGCATCGCTTAGGCCTCAAAATTTCGCACCTATCTATAGGAGTGCGAAGCGAAACAAATAAGGCCGGAAGATATCAATCAAGTCTATCTTTCTCGTGCCTATTAGTGCTATATCCTATCTGCTCGTCGATCATATATACTTGTATATATGTTCGCTGGAACATCACATGCCTATCACCAGAAAACGTAAGTCGCGCCTGTACTAGTTAGATCATAACTATCCTTAATTTCAGGCGTGGTATCGATTCGAGGAACATGCGAACATCCTATTCTAGTCGCCAGTGCAGCCATTTATTTCAATAATGTGCCAGAAAAATTGTAATATGCCTCTAGGGATTTTATCGATGTCTCCTTTTTTCGTTTGTTCATTTCTTCATGCTTGTTGCAAAATTTTGCTACATATTTGTTAGCGTCATCATGCTAAGAGCCATTTTCGATAGACATTGGTGCATATTTCTTGTTGGTATCTTCTAGATGAATTATTATTATTCTCACATTTTATTATTCGATTGTTTTATCAGTTAATTTCAGTTTACTTACAACTTATTGAAAAGATTACTTTTAAGACTACTTTACTCTTCAAATAAGTAAATAAAATAACTTTCGTTATCAGAAAACTAGTAACACTTAATAATCTGGTTTATTATCATAAAAATAGTGGTAGTGATAGTAAAT